TTGTGTGCTGCAGGACTTAGGGACCTTCTGCCCTGTCCCAGAGCAGCTCCTGCCCCTGACGTGGGGAGATAAGCCAGCTCCTGACCTCTTCTGCTTGCGGGAAGTGGCCATGGGAGCAGGAGAAGGCAGATCATGGGACACTGAAGGTGTTCTGAGGGTGGTTCTTCTCCTCCCTCCACCTTTGTTTATGGAGCTGGGTGTGACGTGTGGTTAAACCTGAGCCTGGCTGCAGCAGACTGGGCCAAGGATGGAGGTGCAGCCCTTCACTGTGTGCTGGCCTTGGGAAAGGAGGGGAATTCTGGGAAAAATGAAACCCGATTTTTCTAGGACTTTCCTTTCTAGTTATTTTGGCATCTAAAAGCTGCGTGCTGTGCTGTCAGCACTTCAAGGGGGCTCTGCTTGTGGATTCTCTGGTGCTAAAGAATAAGGTGTGAATGCACGCGAGAGCACTCCCTCTGCCCTTGGGACAGTCAGGCTCAGATACAAAACCAGAGACTATCACAGATCAGAGAAAAAGCACGCTGTTTCAGAGTGCCATGGTGTCAGATTTACTTGATAAATGAGTGTTACAGCATTAACTGTGCCAGTGGAACAGTTCAGCTGTGAATCAGTTTGTAGGAGCCTCATTGATTGATGTGTTCCAACAAGTTCTCTTAAAAAAAGCAGATCATAATCCATTTAACTGTTTAACAGTCAATAAGCACTAGGTCGGGCTGTCTGACAACAAGGCTGTATTAATCCCTTTATTTTAAATATTGTAGGAGAATCTTGGGTGAAGCATCAATATTCACACTAAACAGAAGAGTATAATCAGATTTTAAAGTCCTAAAATGATTGTTAATGTGTTTTAAATAGATAGCCACTTTCTGAAATTAATTAAGTCTTAGAATGGTTTGGGTTGGAAGGCACATTAAAACCACCTTGTTCCAACCCTGTTCCATGGCAGGGACACTTCCACTAAGTCGTCTAAGCAAAATCTGAATAAACACATCCTAATGTGTCCTTTACCATAGGTTGTGGGTTACAAGACAACTTGTTTCAGTGGCCTGAAGCCCTTTTCTGGATGGGCTACAGAACTCAACTGATCTTGAGAGGATGCAAGTGCATAAAGGGGACCAAAATTTGCTTTCCCTGGGAGAGGTGGTCTCCTGGCAGCAAAGGGTGCCTGGAGGTGGCCGTGGCGTGGGCACCGAGGAAGTCCCCAGGGGCTGAAGGCACTAAATTTAGATCCTGGACAGTCCATGTCTGGCTCGTTTCCTCATCCCACAGAGCCTGATTTCTCCTAACTCTTTCTGGGGATTTGCTTCATCCTGTTTGGCTTAAGGCTTAGCCGGGCTATTTTCAGCTGGGCTGTATTTTCAGCTGTGCCTCTTTGCCTGTGACCAAAGGAGGTGTGTCACAAAATACACCAGCTGTGTGTGACATTGAGTGTCCACAGGACCCACTCCTGAACTGGTGAATAGGGCCTGGATTGAACTCCAAATTGCCACTGCCATGTGCTTGCAAAGAGGTGAGGGCCAGTTATCCTAGAACTTCCTTAAAACAGCCTCCACTCCCTTCATTTCTAATTGTCCAAAGCCTTCCCTAAGGAATCTCTGAGGGAAGGAACAGCTGTACTGTTACTGCTTTATGTTACAGCACCCCTGCTCCAAGGAGAAACGGGAATGGGTGGGGATCTTTGGGTCCCACTGGATTTTTAGTGGGATTCCAGCAATTAGGAAGGACAGGACTCAGCACCCCAATTGTTTTATTTGATGCTTTGTGGTGAAATGTCAAGCCTTTATTATAACATCCTTTCACCTCGAATTGAGGAAAAGTCTTTAATTCCTTGCAAAGTAAGATATTGCACAAATGGAATAATTTGAGAATATTTTAATTAAGATGCCATATTACGAATTACTTACTCTACTGAAATGGCAAGGTTATGCAAATAGAAACAAACGTCATTTCCAGGTTCCATTTGAATTTATTACTTTAATGTTTTTAAAAGAAAGGTATTGCTTTTTGGAAGTTCAGCATTCTCTGCAGGAATCACCACTCCTGCCATCCCTTCCTCTGAAAGAATGCAGGGAGAAAACTATTTTCTCACTGCCATTTCTTGCATTTTCCTTCTTTCTATTCTTTTATCTATGGCTCTTAGAGTGGAAAAGGTTCTGGGTCATCAAAAAGAGTTTCTTGTTTAGGCAGGCAAACATATGGAGCTATTTTCCAGGTCATCATATTCCCCCTACTTGCCATTGCCCTCATCTTCCATGTTTGTCCATAACAAAAAAATGCCAATGAAAAATTGAAATATTTCCTTTTAGCTTAGAAAAAAATAGCATCATTACAAGAGGTGACAGGAATTTACCAAGTCCTGCACTTGAGATATATGGAAAGGATTTTTTTTTTCTGTTTTGTTGATTTTTGTTGATTTTACCCAGAAATGCTATGTCCCTAATTTTGGCCAACTCTGCTCATACTGGGTATTGGGTAGACCCCATTTCTCACTTTCATTTTGTGTTCTTCTGCTCACAGTTCTTTGATATCTCCCTTCCAGTAAGCAGAACAGCAGGAATTGCTCTGGACTTGGATGCTGACTGTGAAAATGGCTCCACAGCTCTCCTGGTCCTCCACAGGCATCGAGCATTAAAGGCAGAAGTTTTGGGGTGCACTCTGCACAATATAACAATATATTGGTTTATAGCATGTTTCAGCTTATGTTTAAACCTGTGAGAAAGATTTCTGTGTATCTGAACTCAGGCCAAAGCTTTGTGCTCATTCAAGGAGCTCAGAATGAAGGGTGTGATTCAGTCTAACCACACTTCACCATCAGAATGGGCCTGTTATGGGATAGTACTGAAAGCTGGCTACCCAACTCTGCAGCTGAGTTCCCCTGTGTCCTTTTGCCACCTCAAACAAACCAAATCTTGGAGAACAAGCTGATTTTCTCTCCTCTCCTTGCTCACCAGTGGCTGACTCAGAGTGCTGCACAGGCTGGAGGGGTTTCTGTCCACAGGGGGCTGTGCAGTATGGAGTTATTCTTCTGCAATTGTACCACTGGCTGGGTGAAAGCGGCCTAAGAAGACCATAGGTCTGAAAAAAGTGTGTTTGTGTGTGTGATCTAAGGATGAAGGGAGGAAAATCTAAGGGTGATGTAGATTTTTTTCTTAGTTCTTGCACTTCTGCATTTAAGACTCCTCTGAAGTTGCTCAGCTTCTGCACATGGTGAGAATTCCAGCTTCCTGAAACTCCTTATAACCCCACTGAGCTGACTGATCCCTGTGATCCAGTCTAGTGCTATATTTATTGAGAATTATCCCTGCACTGTTTGCATTGGTCAGGCCCTTTTTTTTTTTCAGAATTGGTGCTCTCTTTGCTCTTTTTACTTTGGAGGGCTGGAAAGGGGCAGGAAATGCCCTTTGATGCTGTGATTCACCCAGAGAAAACCTTTGCAGTTGAGCTGAGGGTATGAACAGGATAATGAGCACTCTGAAGGTGTAAAACACCTGAAGGGTTTTTGCACTTTGAAAAAGAGGAATAAGGGAACCCTGTGATGACTCTGAGATCTTTTGTTGCTAGAGGTGAATTCCCTTTATCTGTGGAAACCACTAGTTGCACACACTGGTGGATAGCAACCATCTTTAGCTATGCAATTTGCTCTCAAGTTGTATTATTTTGATGATTATCTGTCATTCCCTAATGCGTTTCCCCATGTTTTCAGCTGTGCTGTAATTATAATTGCTGGGATTAGACATTAATATTTATAACAGAGATCAGCTTAAAATCCCATTCTGAACCAGGATGAAGTGTTCACGTATAATTCTGGCAACCTGGTGCAGATCAGCTGCACAAGGGTGACTTATGTTGAAACCCTTCCCTCCTGTCCAAAAAATGTCAACAGCTTGCAGAAAGCCTGTAAAGCCATTGATTGATCAGATCAGATATTTTGTGTGAGGGGGTGGAAGCAAAAATCCAAGGTGTAATTTTTCCCAAGGTGTAATTTCTTGACTGCTCAGACCTGTACAATTCACACCATGTTCATCTTCTGGGGATCTCAGCTGTACAGAGCAATCCCTCAGGGGCAAAAAACGGGGGTTTTCATCATCTTTTTATGTAGCACATCATTTATACCTTTATTTACATACTTGTAACTTGCCTAAAACTGGTGCTGCCACACCAGCTACACAGGGAAATGTCTTGTCCCTTGTCCATTTGGTTTATTATTCTTTCACACCAGTATTTATACTCACCAAAATATTCTTCTGTAAGAAAACAATTACTTGCAAAACCCCGCTGAAATTAGATACCTGGGTAAGAAGGATTCATTCTAAAGTTAACATTTAGAGTTTCTTGGAGGCTCCCAAAGGGACCCAGACATGAAAATGTTCTGGAGATTATCCCAGAGGTTTGAGCCCTTCACTCACCCTTCCCCAGAGCACCCAGCACCGGCAGGAATGGAGTGGTTTTAGTCTCTTGCAGATTCTTATCCAGGTTGGTATTCAAAGGCAGGTTAAAAAAGATCATTTTGGATTAAATCAGTGACAAAATCAAAAAGAGAGGGAGAGGATTCCATGCAAGGAATATAAAAGCTCTGTTAAATTAGATATAGCTGTTGCTCCCAACAGCCCGGGCACGCACTGTCAGCAGCTCAGGGGCTCATTTCGAACTTGTTTCCTTTTCCCCCGGTGACTCCAGCTGGAGTGAAGCACCACTCACTGCCCATGCTAGAGCAAAACCTGCATTTGTTTAAAGCACGAATAATGAGAGCTCTTGCAGCTTGTTATTCTCAGCTTAATCAAAACCTCCTGCCAAACCCCCAGCTGGAACTCTGGCACTGGTTTTTATCTCAACAGCCACGTTCCAGCCCGATGCCGAAGGTGAGGCTCTTCTGGGAGACCCTGCCAGTTCCATTTCTTTATTAGAACTTTTGATACACCACTAATGCGTCTTCAAAACCCCGTATTTTGTTCCCCTGCTGCAATAAAAGTTGAAAGGCAATGACACACAAATCACTGTACCTGAGAGGCTCAGTTCCTCAGTCCCGCCTTCCCCGATGTCCTCGGTGGTTTCCAGGAGAGGAGCTGGATTACAACTGACCACAGAGGGACCTGCTCTCAGATTTACATCTCCCTGTAATGATGACCCTTGCAGAAATAGCTCTGGACAGGTAATAGGATTAGCAGGAGGGAATTAGAAAATTCTGCTCATTAGTTTGAGCCAATGGAGTTGCAGACTGGCTAGAGGTTTAAAGGATTTGGTGCATACATCTAATTGGGAAGGGGGGAAAACTACTGAGCCTGAAGCAGAGCTACAGATGGCACCTTGGTATGGCACAGCCAGCTGTATTAAACATGCTGGAGAAATACAGATGGATTATAAGCACGGTGTGAGAACCTCTTACTGGATGAAGGGAAGCTGCCATTGCAACCCTGATGGCCTTTTCAATATTTCTGAACTATGATGAGACTCCAGTTTATGAAAAGGATAAAACTATTAATGGAAATGATGCTAATATTTCCATAAATCACCCAACCATACCTAGTTACTCATGGTAAAAAAAGGAAGTACAGACAGTGCAAATGAAAAAATGGGGAGGGAGAATTTTAGTCTATAAATATCTTACATGGCATTAAGAAACATTAAATTCAGAACAGTTTTAAATGGAAGACTTCTATTTAAACACCTGCAGCTGTGGCTGTGACGTAGTTGGATGGTTTGCAACCAAGAAGGTCATGGGATCATAGAATCCTAGGATGGTTTGGGTTGGAAGGGACCTCAAAGCCCATCCAGTGCCACCCCCTGCCATGGACAGGGACACCTTCCACTAGCCCAGGTTGCTCCAAGCCCCGTCCAACCTGGCCCTGGACACTTCCAGGGATCCAGGGGCAGCCACAGCTTCTCTGGGCAACCTGTGCCAGGGCCTCCCCACCCTCCTAGGGAAGGATTTCTTCCTAACATTTAATCTAAATTTCTTGTCTTTCAGCTTAAAGCCATTCCCCCATGTCTTATCATTCCACATCTGTTTTTGCACCAAAATCAGCAAATTTGACAGAGTTAAACAAAACATATATAGAAGGAGAACATCCTACATAGGTGTGATGTGAGGGTTACTGGCCCATGTGAACAGTGAGGGAGAGCTGCAGGGTACCAAGAGCTTTTGGAAACGTGGCTCTGGAGGGGTGGCTGGAGTGGCTGTCTGGTAGCTTGGGTTATCCAAGGGTTTGTGTGAGTTGTGGCTAATATTAGTGATAAAGCCAGTCCTGCTTTTATCCCCCTGCAGTGACCCTTGGTAAAACTGAAAGCTCTCCAGAGGTCTGAGTCCTCATTAAGACCAGCCTTCATTAAGCCTCATCCTCCTGATCTCGGAAAGGCTGGCACAAGGAAGGCTCCTCCTTCTCACCATGGAGGAGCATCAGGTTAGGGAACATTTACCCAAATTGGATGGGATCAAGTCCCCAGGAGTGTACCCAGAGGTGCTGAGGGAGCTGGCTCACGTCACTGCAGGGCCACTGGCCCCGTGTCAGCACTGGAGAGACACATCTGGAGAGCTGTGCCCAGTCAGGGGTTCCCCAGTACAGGACTGGTGTGCCTTCACTGGAGAAAGTGCAGGGAAGGGCCACAGGGATGATTAAGGGAATGGAACATCTGCTGGATGAAGAGAGGCTGAAAGAGCTGAGCGTGCTCAGCTTGGGGAGGAGCAGGCTCGAGGGGGATCTCATCCATGGCTCTAAATATCTGATAGGGGGGTAGAAAGAAGAGAGAGACGTGGACAGTGGTGCCCAGTGACAGGACAAGAGGCAACAGGCATGGACTGAAACACACCAAATTCCTATGAACATAAAATGCTTTTTTACCGTGGCAAAGGAGAAATTAGGGAGCCTTCATCCTTGGAGGTGCTCAAACCCAACTGGTCAGTCCTGGGCACCCTGATCTAGGTAACACTGCTTGAGCAGGGGCTTGGACTTGAGCCTGCTCCAAGCATTGTGCCTCAATTTGAAAAAAAATCATAATTCTGAGAAGCTGAAATGGCAATAGTTCCTTTTTAAGTTAGGCATTCCAGTTCAGTGACATTCCCCCCCCAACTTCTAGAATTTATGTAGTTCTTTCTTTGTTTGCCTGGTTTTGTTTCCTTACTGATCTAGTGGAAGGTGGCCCTGCCCGTGGCAGTTTTTTCCATTTAAAATTGCTCTGAATTTAATGTTTCTTAATGCCATATAAGAGCTTTAAGGTCCCTTCCAACCCAAACCATTCTATAATTCTATAACTCTATGACTCTCTTTGCTAAGCCTGCCCTGAGCTATTCCCCACCTGACATGCACCAGCTGCCAGAGATTTTAGGTGCTTCATTCCTTTTGCTTCCTCGTGGACTATTTAAATTTCTTTTATGAGATAGTTGTTAATTTTTAATGGAAGACCCCATTAAATTGAGAAGTTCACTTAGCTCGGTTCCAAAGGGCAAACCAAGGAATTTCATACCCTGTGAAAACATAATTATCACTGTTTTCAGACAGCACCATGTGGGCAGAATTCAATTCAGCAATGAAGCAGCTGATGGAGCTTTTCCAGGCCCCAACGGGAGGAGGACATGAACAGAGGGAAGAGGGCAGGCTGGGAATTCCTGAATATAAACATGTCAGCTTCTGACTCGTTGAAGACAGAAGGTCACCTTCAATTTGAGAGCACTTGGTATTTGAGTAGGATGCTGAATATCACCGTTTCTAAATGTGAAACCTTCTACTTTTATCTGTTTTGTCCCTTTTTACAGCTTCAGACTGTGAGATGTTCTCTGTGACAGCATTATTTTAGTACAAGACCCGGATAGGATTTAGCTCCACCACCCTCTGTGTTCTCCCTACTGCAAGTCACAGGAACATAAAAAAAACCATTGAAAATTCCCAGTATGCCTTGTGGAAGAAACCTTTTGAATCAGCATGGCCAAAAAGCTTTGTCAGGCTTTAAAATGCCATTTTGAAACAATTTTGTCTTCTGCAAATGGTACGTTTTCTTAAATTTTTAGGATTTTCCCCGTTTCCCCCTCTTTTTTCATTTGTTTGGTTGGGTTTTGTTTGTTTGTTTGTTTTGTTTTGTTTTGTTTTTAAATATTTTTCTTTTCTCCTTACTTTCAATATCACTTCTGCAGCTTTAGGTTAAAACATGCCCTTACTGTCTTTAATTTAAATTACATTTTCTCTTCTAGTAAACTGTAGTGTACGTGCCACGACTGCAGAAAAATATCTCTGTAAAAAATTGACTACTGGTGTTATTTCATGACGGTTTGATATCTAATGATGAAGAACTGGCACTTGCAAGAATATTTCCAAAAGTCCAGTTGTCCATGGTTGGCTCAAAAAGCCCCTTTGTTGCAAAAAGATGGATTAAATCTTGACGTGGAGACTGATCCTAAACCGATTTAGGAAAACTCCCTTTGTTTGCATCCTTGTCATTAACTTAAGGAAGATTAAAATACGGAGCAGGAAGAGGAGCGGTGCGTTTCCCACATCCCGTTTGTCATGGAACTGCCGCGGTTCCAAGGCACAACAAAGCTGACAATTTTGGCCCATTTAGTTATTTTTTTTCACTGAAGAGGTCAGAGCAGCCTCCTGCTGCTGGGGAGAGACTTGTCCCACCTTCCCACTGCCCAGCCATCCGTTGCCCTTCCGTGTTTTTACACTTTGGGTCGTGGTTTGTGTCTTGGTTTTCCTTCCCGGTGCGGCCTCCATGGACAGAGCAGTGGGTCTGCACCTGCTGGCACTGCCCTGTCTTCGAAGTGGGACAAGGAGAAGCCATCCTGGCCAGCCTCTGGCACGTGACAGCTGCTCCTTCCTCCTGGAATGACAATGCCAGGGCTGGACAGCCTTGGCGAGGAGGGTCTGGAGTGTTGCTGTGCCGTCTGTGTTCCCGCGGGGTCCCTCAGGACCACCTGCATGGGGTTGGGGTCTGGAGCGGTTCAGGCACTGAAGCTGCTCTTGTGAGCCACCCCCTTGGCATTAGGAGTGCTTTGGATGTTGAATTAAGTCTCTTTACAGGCAAAATCTGTTCCACTAAAGGACAGCACAGAACTGATGGAAGCGTTTTGGTGAGGGATGTAACGGCCTCTGACGTTCACCACTGCATCCAGAGGGAGGATCCATCTCCATCTCCATCATCTCCATCTCCATCTCCATCTCCATCTCCATCATCTCCATCATCTCCATCATCTCCATCATCTCCATCTCCATCTCCATCTCCATCTCCATCTCCATCTCCATCTCCATCTCCATCTCCATCATCTCCATCTCCATCTCCCCCCTCAGTGTAGTGATTGTCTTGCAGAGAGGTTCACCAAGCTTTTCGAATCTGTTTGCCCTCTCTGTAGTGCTTTATTTTGCACCATTCCGTGCTGCCCGCAGAGGTCGGTGTTTGCCTGGGAAAGCGGCTCCTGAAGCTGAACGTCCCGGAACGTTCAGCTTCCCTCAGACGTGCTCCCCCCCACTTCCCTGGGCTAATACTGATCTCTTTCGAGCTTCTAAAGACGTAACTGAGAAGGAAGGTGCCGGTGTGTATTTTGGTACATCATTAGCTTTGGCACCTTTAACAGATTTTAACGGATCAAACACGGTGTTTTAAAAAAAAAACTCCAACAACGTGACATTTCGTAAAATATTTGCATATCTAAAAGAGGAAGGGAGGATGATTCGGGGTGGGAACCGTGTCTGTAGTTATCATCTCACGTATATTTTATGCAGTCTGAGAACATGAAAGGTGTTCAGTGATGTGCTTGTGGAACAAAGCCCTCCCTCTTTATCCTGGCACCCACCCCCGGGATGTGTCAGAGGTGGTAA